AATGTTACAGTCACATGACAATTTTTGTGGCGTAAACAAATCAGATTTCAAGATCAGGTATAACATTACATGATCAGGAAAATTTAAAACAAACATTCGAGAAACAACCTTTATCGCTCTAACAAAAAGTTTTCCTTGAATGATTTCACTATTAACACTCCTCTAACCTTAACCTTAGTACAGACCCTAACCCTAATCTAAACGAAGTTAAAGAATTTTTCAATAGTCACGTGACTGTAACATTTTGGTGGCGATACTGGGGAAGATCGTGCCCAGGATTATGCAATGCGATTGGGTAAATTATGCGATTTCACCAAAGGTAATTATGCAATGAATGCGAATTATGCATTTTCTTAATTAAAATTTGTCAATTATGCCAACTTTTCGGAATATTTCGAACTTTTTTGCGGAAGTTTTCGGAATTCACACTTTATCTAAACACATTCTTCCGCCAATCAAATCTCACTCACGTGCCTTTATGCTTATATGCGATGCGAAAAAATAGTAAATTATGAGCATAATTTCGCATCGCATAATCCTGGACACCCTAGTGCCCGTAGACCGTCCGCTGGTTACCCTTTCACAATGTAATATTATAATATTAAATGATTATGATCTTAAACTACGTATGCATTTAAAACTTTATACAATGTATATATATTGACTATGCTGTCCAGAATTATGCAATTATAAATTTGTATATTAGGACTTTTTAAAGACCAGGTTCTAAAGTCCCGGACCTAAAGACTTTACCAACCCTATTGCTGCTTGCAATACTTCAGTGCATGTTGCCTTTAAACATCCAATTCCACCTTTAGAAAATTGTGTTTTAATGGTGTCAAAGATTGCCTGCTCGCTAAAATAATGTTAAAAAGAAAATATTACGCAAATTGATAATTATAACTTTTTTCACTTACTTTATATTCCCATATGCACGTTCCAATGTCCACTCTATATTTTCAAATAGAGGGTATGAAAATACATCTTTGGGTCGAAAAATGATATTCACAAAAAAATTAGATTTAGCTTCGTAGTGAAAGAAGAGGACTCTTAAACACAATTTTGTATTGTCATCATTGCTTGTGATGAATTCGATCGGAAAACTGAATCTAAGAATAAATATTTCGCGATAAAGTTTTCTAATTTTTTGCCAATATGACACAAAGTCTTTAAGGATTTTCGAAATCTATTATACGGAAAAAAATTATTATGCTTTCAAATATATAAATGTCATTTACTAACTCCACACTTACTCCGGCCATCTGTATAGGCAAATTGACATTTTTCATAATATATTCACGCATTCCGCAGAGCATTATCTGGTACTATCATAAACGCATAAACGGAAAAAGGTCACTACCATGTAAATGAAAAAAAGACAAAAAAAAACAAGTTTAAAATATTTTATTACATATTGTTTGTCCTTAGTAGTCATTTTGTCATGAATAATAAACGATACATCAATAATGGATGTGATACTTTCTCCCTCACAAGAAATAGCTTTCAAATTGACTTTCACTTGTAAAATATTATCATAAATCATGTGTACGAATTCGTCGGATAACGTCACCGGACGCCATAAATTAGTTACGATAAGGTTTTCATATTGATCTTGAAAATGATTTAAATATAACATTAAGAATATTTATCATAAAAAACTACAATTTCAACACAAACATACCACGATATCTTATCCGATCTTCTTCTGTAAAGCATTTATTTTCGTGAATTAAACGTTTAGCCTCAGCAATGCCCTTAAGATCATTGACAATCATTTGGTAAGAATGAATAGCGTGAATTAATATTTAACTACAAATATACGTACTTTATTCAATTCAATCTTTTCGTTTTGTAGTTTAGTGTGCTGATTCTGAAGATTTTGCAACTCTTTTAGGAGATCATCTCGTTCTGTCTCGAAGATTTGTATTTGAGCACTTTGCTCTTCAATAGCTTCTTTCATGAAGCGTACATTCAAATTCTCATTCTCGCTCATTATGAGGGACATATCCTCTGCACTTTGCTCTTCAATAGCTTCTTTCATGAAACGTTCATTAAAATTCTCAGTCACTATAAGCGACATATCCATATCCTGCTCTTCAATAGCTTCTTTCATGAAACGTACATTAAAATTTTCATTTAAACTATCGCGTTCAGTTAATTTGTCTGGAGAGACAATTGACATCTCTTCACTCTCTTCATATTCCGGTTGAACTATGTCCATGTCAATTTCCATTTCTATATTATCGTCATCACCATTATTAGGTGAATCTTCTTTACAATATTCACTAAATAGAAAATCAATAATGGAAATAATTTATTGTGAAGATTCTTCTTGCAACCCATAATGGCATTGCTTAATGAAACAATTTATTGTTAGATTAATATAGCTTACATTTGAGGTGGCACGTTATTATTCGCGTTATTCGCGTTTGACGAAGCTGGTAATCCATTCGCAGCATCTTCTTTATAATATTCACTAAATAGAAAAACAATAATGGAAATAATTTATTAGTGAAGATTCTTGCAACCCATAATGGCATTGCTTAACGCAACAATTCCAGAATTTCTACCGAACGGACGCAGTTGTTGCAAAACTAACTCTTCGCCCTGTAGATTTACGTCGCTTTTGTCCGTCTTCACTAGAACACGACATTTATAAAGATAAATAGCTATAATAATTAGTAGTGAGTAATTCAAAGTATTGTGTAAGAATTTTATTTTATTTTTTTTCGCGAGTGAGGTGAGGCACGTGACCACGAGCCAATCAAATTATCATATGGGCTGATTAATGCATGATGAACCCTATCGCTATGTAGAAAAATTCAATAAATCCAACGAAGCAAAGACAAAAAAAATGCAAAATATAAAAACGGCAGCCTAAACCTATCTTGGGGCTTTTTTTTTTTTTTTTTCGCATCTAAGCGACTTTTATCCCTTTGGCCAGGTATTCTAGACACCTCGGGGATTTTTATTTTATTGAATATCTTGGTGCATTAATAAAAATACACGCATAACCTTAGTATAAGGTGGTCTTAACCCCTAAAGTTAATTCAAATTATGATTAAATTATGAGTTGCCTCAGCTTTAGATTAATTGTTATGGAGGTTGATTTGTTTAAGGTACCTTAGATAATTAACGGTTTATCTGCTATTTAAGTTCAGATACTTTTCATACTATATTGCAGCACTACACGATAAATAAACTGACGATATGTACTCTATTGTTACGGTATCTTCAAAGTTTCGTAATGTGAAAGTCAACGTATTTTCACTCATCGGTGCCAGAAGGTTAGTGACATTCTCGTCTTGTAAAAAGTCAAAGGTCGTTGCTGTATCGTCGTTCTTTCTTAAGCAACTTTTTTTGTTCATTGCGATAAGAACTTGTTGACGCGTTACGTAAGATTTAGAGTTGTTGAAACTAAATTGAGTTGGTGAAACTGGTGACTATTTAAAATCTGATTGGCTGTTGTAGTAAACAATCAGTAAGATCAAAATAATTTCCATAATCACGTGATGATAGACGGAAACTACTGAACTAGCTAAGAAATACGAAATTAGTCGTTCAAAAAAAACAAGCGATGCTGGGGAATCAATTGCCTAATAATGTAATAACTTATAAGTTTAAAGTACTGAACATTTAGAGATGTAGTATTTCATTAGTGAAATGTGTACCCAGTTGGACATTGGACCACACTTGTCCAGTCTATTGGATCATAAATAAAAATTTATATACTATATAAGTGTCACCAAAGAAAACCCGACAATCCTCCCCTTAATATTAGGCGGTTGTTGGTCACTATTTATTTTTGCGTAACGTTTTATATTAAAAAATAAATTAATGACATCTTAGGCCGCCACCCATCCACCCTTTAAAAAATTCTACTAAAATCTTCACCACGCACCCACCCTTGAAAATTCGGGGTATTTCATGGGACCTCGATTAGATTGGAGATTTAAAACTCCGATCAAGTAGCGAGGTCACGTGACTTTGCTCCTTCGCATTTTCGCGAAATTAGCAAAATTCAAACTTCGCCTAATCGGAGTTTGAATTTTGTTAAGTAGCGAAGTCACACAAAATTGGATTAGTAACACGAAACTCGAGGTCACGTGACCCACGCACTAAAAAAATTAGAAAAATATAAAATATATAAAAAAATCATAATAAAAAAATAAAAAAATATGGGTTTTATAAAATATCGCTATGGCAATATAACGCCAGTCCCTAAAATCACGTGACTATGAAATTTTCGTTACACAATCCGCATTTAGATTAAATGATTTTATTAATGAAATTTACATTATCGCAAAAAATACAATTTATATAAAACCTACTCTAACTCTAACTCTAACCACTAACTAACCCTAACTGCTAACTTAATCACTCACTCTAACCCTAACTAAATCTCAGACTAATTGTATTATTAATCGTGAAGATATTATGATACATAGCACGACGCCACTTAACAAAATAACAAACATACAACAACTCCAGAAAACGGCAAAACACACCATATATGATTCAAAATTGTGATGTTGGATCATTAGCAAACAATGAATAGTGACCTTAGAGAATAAAAGTCCACCAACAACGAAATACATATTCACAACTCTAATAAAGACAACACGACACTAGCAATGAAGTATTTCACTGCTCCAACGCCAACAACGAATATTTCATGACTCCAATAATGATGAGACTATTTCATTGCTTATAATAATAATGCCAATGATGAAAAATATTTCACTCCAATAATGATGACACCAATGATGAAGATATTTTCAAATAGCATGATAAGCAACGATCAAAAGAAAAAAAAAAAAAGTTAGTTATAGTAAACGCATTTACAACCAAAGAACAAGAACTGGAAAAACAAAATTTACAATACAATTATCTTAACCAGTGTTGTTATTAGAAACCAACTGGAACATTTAAACTATTTCACTGCTCTAATATTAATAATGCTAACGACGAAAAGTATTTACTCCAATAATGACAACACCAACAACGAAGATATTTTAAATAGCACCAGAAAAGCAATAAACAATGATCAAAAGAAAGAAAAAAAAATGTTAGTTATAGTAAACGTGTTCCTCTAAATATCTCAAGAGCCAGAACAACAAAATTCACAACACAATTACCCTAACCAGTGTTGTCACTAGAACATTTACACCCAAAAACTTCCCACCGGCAGTAAAATTAACAACACTGATGAAACAAGAAGGCGTAAAAACTATGCCAATTACATCAGCGATTCCAAAATAACACACACCAAAAGCAATGAAAACCACACCAACAATTGCTTCAACTACGGCAACACAACCCTAACGACAGCGACTCGACTACATCACCAGATGCAACGACACCAGTAATGACAACAACAACTGAAAAATCTATTACCTGAAAGAAAGAACTATTAGTTAGTATAAAATAATAGAAAAAAAAATTTTAAAAAAGAAAACTAATAATCATAATCAATGATCATCAGTTTATATCCCCAAGCATGTGCATTACACAATTAATAGGGTAGCACTATATCGCATTGTTATAGAGTAACACCTTCTTAATTTACTCTATAATGACGACACGGCACAAGGAATCCTTTCGTAAGTATATGCGGTGTTCAAGAGGTAAGTATAGCTTCTTTTCTCTTTAAGAAACTATACCCTTCTCTAAGGCAGTTCGTAGGAAAATATAATAACAATAATAACTTTATTAACACAAGAGAGATAAACCTTGCCTGTAAGAATTACCCTAGAGGGGGAATATCTAAACAGTTTATAGTCAAAGAGTCGTTTA